TCGCTGCGGGATCTAAGACAGTCATTCATGTTTCGGTGTTTTCATGGTTGTCTTCTATAGATCCTGGTGCACTGGAGTTGCAGCGGTTCTAAGAGGTAGCACCTGTGGAGTTTGTCTCAATATCAAACTGCATTATCAGGCCAAGAAAGGAGATTGAACATGAATTGTTTAGCATTTTGAAGGGTATGGTCACTTAAGCAAATCTATTATAAGTGTTATTATTTTAAAGTAAAATTGTTTTTTCAGCGTGAATTTGTACACATATAGCATAAATGAGGTTTTAATCTATACTTAAATAAAATCCCACAACATCTCACAAAGTGGGGAGGCCAGAAAAAAAACGTATACGTATGCAGCCTTGGCCACTACAACCAAGAGTGAGGTAGCGCTTACGAAAACAGAAACATTCTTGCATTTAAGTGTGAGATAGCCATTCTTCGGCGCGAATGGGTCGGCTCGACCGGCGTGATACCACGGCCTCACAGAACACCAGCGTGAAACAATCACAGCGTTGTGTTTAGCCGTGTAAGTTAGGTTATCAGAGGCCCAATCTTTCCCCTCCCCCATCCCAACGTACTCATAACTCCTCTATTGTTACGGGTATCCATGAGCGACGCTGATTGCTTACCATCAGGTAATCCGTCTGCTCGTTTGCCGATCTATCACAAAAAACCTTTTAAAATGAGCTATCAATCTCTTTACCAACAGGAACTAAGAGCCCACGTAAACATAATTAAAAAATTACAATAAGTAGTCCATTTAGTTATCTAAGAAAATGGACTATTTTTTTAATGACTGTAAATCAATGTTTTAATTAATGACTGGAATATTGATCGCGTGATTATAAGCGCAGTATAGGTAAGGTACTTATAATTTTAAATAAAAATGCTTTTAGTGTATCGGTACAAATTTTAAGTGTGGAAGAGCCAAGCTTCGGAACGAATGGGTCGGCTCGACCGGAGTGATAGCACGGCCTCACAGAAAACCGGCATATAACAACCACAGCGTTGTGTTTCGCCGTGTGAGTTAGGTTAGCGGAGACCCCTAACATTTCTGTCCCTCAATCCCTAAACCTCCAAAACCCTAATCCTCACAAGGTCAGAAACGCACTCGTAACTCGTCCATTATTATTGGAATCCATGGGCGGCGCTGATTGCTTACCATCAGGTATTCCGTATTATCCCCATCCTTCCCTTAATCCTCGGAATCCCAATCCCCCTAATGGTTAGCAACGCACTCATAGATAACTCCATTAGGGCGCATTGGTAGCGCTGATTGCTTACCATCAGGTAATCCGTATACTATCCCCCATTCCTCCCTAAATCCTCAAAAGGTCAGAAACGCATTCGTAACTCGTCCATTGTTGTGAGTGTCCATGGGCGGCGCTGATTGCTTACCATCAGGTAATCCGTCTGCTCGTTTGCCGATCTATGTCGGTAAAAAAAATGAATGACGTCACAAATGATTTGACGACGCAAAGCATAGATGACAATAATCAACGGATGACGAAATGGGTGCGTTTACATACATACAATTTCACATACAAAACAACAATTTGTGGCTTACACGAAGCATGGTCCCTTGCGGGAATTGAACCCGCGATAAGTTGAAAGGTAGTGTAGTAGTGATGGTCTGTTTTTTTTAAGGGGAAAATCATCAAATGACTTCTCCCGCCCAGGGCCGGGCAGGAGGGAGTGTCAGACTCTTACTGACTAAAAACCAACCTGTTCCTTCTCCTGCTCTGGGCCGAGGTCGCGGTGCCTCATTGCACCGGACCTATAGGGCCCGTCTTTGGTGGTCTATTGGCTCTTTGAGGCGCGCGCGGAACGCTACGCGCCGTACGCTCGAGTCTGGTTCTGGTCGGACGGCGAGTTACCCTTACTCCGTTCGCAGACCCGCGCTTACGGTGGCTTCGTTAGTGTGATTTGGCGAGAATTATGAATTGGCATAATGCTTCCATTCCCTGCATTCCTCCTTGAACATCTAAAACACTTATTACCAAAAGGCCGGCAACGCACTCGTAACTCTTTTAGTGTCCATGGGCGGCGTTAGCTACCATCAGGTAATCCGTCTGCTCGATTGCCGACCTATGTCATAACATTTTTTTTTCTTTTTCATCGCTTCAGGGATAGAATTCATTTGAAATCACATACTTACCTACTTCAAATATGACGCATATAATTATCCATTCACTCTATTCATTAATTATTGTATAACAATACACAATCAATGAAAATAATGATGATGATATTAATATATTTATTTATGTTACCGTTAAAGTTAGACGGTACCTAAATCTTCGGTTTTTCCCAAAGTCAAAATCGAGTCTTCAAGGATATGTTTTAAAAATACTAGCTGATCAGCAGTGTGATTCTGTCAGACTTAATTCTAAACTTCGAATCTGAATCCGCTGTGAGTAGTAGTACACTAGCGCTACACTTGCGAGTTGAACTAAATTGACCGCAACATTTTGATAGATAAAGTATGAGACGACGTTAAAAGTGGCATTTTATTGTAATTTTTTCGTCACTTCGACGCCCACTTCACAGTCAACAAGATTCAAAATCAAACAAATTTTATAGAATCGACGTGCAGTGCCCTTAGTATGAGTTTCCATAGCCACCAGACGATGTACGTTTACGAGTTGACTACAATCGTAGCGTATGAACGATGTTCACACTGATACGTCTTTCTCTCTTACTCTTGATTAAAAGAGTGAAATGGACATACATTCGGTCTTTTTGACTGGCTTTAAGAATGTCTTGCAGCGTGTTGATTCGGCTCCACTGGACAATACTCAAATATAATCAGTAGTTATTAAAACTTCTCAAAATTAATGAATCCTTGATGATCTATTCACCTTAAAAAAATCCAAAATGCATGAAAAAAAATAGCAGACCTGGCTCATATTCATTTGTGGAATAATTTAAGTGTGGGAGAACTCCATGCTTCGGCTTAGGTCCGCACTGAAGTGATACCACGACGTCACAGAAAATTGGCGTGAAACAACCACATTGTTGTGTTTCACTTTGTGTGTTACTTACTCTTCCTCCGTTCCCCAATCCCTAAATATCCGAAACCCAAATCTCCAATAGGCCGACAACGTACGTGTCGTAACTAAATCTGTTACGTTGACGCCTTTGGTTTATCATTATCAGTTTGGATACGGGAAGCCTAATCCTCCCTCCATCCTCCTTAAATTCCCTATCCTTAAACCCCTAACGACTCACAAAAGACCAGCAACACACTCTTTTGGTATTACGAGTCCATGGGCGGCGCTGATTGCTTACCATCAAGTAAACCGACACATGGGTCGTTTGCCGACAAATGTCACAAGAATAAAACATAACCTCAAAAAATATTCTGAATAAGTATTTTTTGAGAAACCCCACAAAATATCAATTTCATTTTGTTTTTATTTTATGCTGTAGTTCGGCAAACGAGCAGACGGCAACAATAGAGTAGTTACGAGTGCGTTGCCGACCTTTTGGGGATTGGGGATTTGGAGATTTAGTGATTGGGCAGGGATTGAGGGAGGGGTAGATTGGGCCTCCAAACAAAATGCCGTGGTTGTTTCACACTGGTTTTCTGTGAAGCCGTGGCATCACAGAGTCGCCACAGCCGGTGGAGCCGACCCATTCGTGCCGAAGCATGGCTCTCCCACACTTAACGTAACTTACGCTTCTTTTGTTTTTAACTTTGCTAAAATATATGTCAATAATTCTAAACTGTATTTTATATACCAATTGCTTCCTATTAGGTAATGCGTCTGCTCGCAATCCTCCATCTTGGTCTTTTATTGGAAAGTCTTAATATTAACTACTTTTCCTACTTTAACTACAACATGTACAATCCTATGTCTAAGCCTTTAATGCATTTCTTCGCTTCTTGAAGAAAATACCGTAGATTTTCTTCAGTAAACCAGTAAGTTATTATAGAAAATAAAAATTCTGAATTGAAGTTATTGTTATATTAATTTGTAGAGTTGTCACGAAGCCATATCTTGTTGGGTATTCTAACCAACCTATAGTTGCTAATGATCTTATCTGAGAACTGAATATCTTGTGTTAAATCAAGAGCGGTCTAGGAGCAAAGTAAAAAGCGTATTTCCATTAGTTTTTCCGTTGAAATAATTTGTTATTATATGTGAAAAAGGACAGTGATTGTGTATAAGTATTGACAGAGTTAGTTTACAAAAAAACTATGCTACGGTTTCGTTCGAATAAAATTATTTTTGTAAATTTTTTTTTCAACGTGTTTGTGTATAAATGTTATTTTGATAACAAGAGGTTGTGTCATTGATCTGTTATTAAAATAGGGTAAGTATTTTTGTGGGGGATGTTATCATATGACTTCTCGGTTGGCGAGTAAGGGCAGCTCGCCGCCCGACCAGAACCAGGCCCGAGCGTACGGCGCGTAGCGTTCCGCGCGCTCCTCAAAGAGCCAATAGACCACCACAGACGGGGCCCTAAAGGGCTGATGTTCAGCCGGGGTTGCGGAGTAAGCGCAATGAGGCACCGCGACTCGGCCCAGAGCAGGAGAAGGAACAGGGGGGTTTTTAGTCAGTAAGAGTCTGACACTCCCTCCCGCCCGGCTCTGGGCGGGAGCAGTCATTTGATGATTTTCCCCTCATAAAAAAAAACATATGACTTCTTCCGTCTTGCTCCGTCTGACTCTTACTGACTAAAAACCATCTCGTTCCTTCTACTGCATAATCTACAACCTTGGCTAATGTTTATAACTATATAAGTTAATGTTTATAACTATTTAAGTGTGGGAGAGCCATGCTTCGGCACGAAATGGTCGGCTCGACCGGAGTGATACCATGGCCTCACAGAAAACCGGCGTGAAATAACCAGTGTTGTGTTTCGCCGTGTGAGTGAGGTTACCGGAGGCCCAATCCTTCCCCTTCCCTAATCCCTCCCCAGTTAATAAATCTCCAAATCCCTAATCCCTAAAAGGTCAGCAACGCACTCGTAACTCCTCTGTTGCGGGTGTCCATGAGCGGCGCTGATTGCTTACCATCAGGTAATCTGTCTGCTCGTTTGCCGACCTATTACATAAAAAAAAAATGCTAAAGTGTTTATCCACCTTCGTAACGAAAGAATTGTAATATTAACGCGGTGGCTGGGCAACCGACTGTGACTTTGTCGTAGTTTCGAATCCCTCACGGAACAACTCTTTGTGTGATCCACAAATTGTTGTTCCGTGAGTCTGTATGTGATGTGTATGTGACATTGTATGTTTGTAAACGCACTTACGACACAGGAGAAAATCCTAGTGTAGGCCAACGTTCCTACCATGTGTCTTATATATAAAAATGGATCGCAAAATGTGTTGTTAAGTGCATAACTCAACAACGCCTGGACCAATTTTGTTAATTCTTTTTTTGTTGTGTTTGTTATTGTCAGGAGAAGGTTCTTATCAAAGAAAATATATGAAAAGTAGAGGGGACGATTAGGGAAAAGTGACCCTTTCGTTGTTAGCGAGATAGTAGGACTCGTGCGAAGCGGGGGCGGGCCGCTATAAAAATGGATTGCAAAATGTGTTGGTAAGCGCATAACTCAACAACACCCGGACCAATTTCGGTAATTATTTTTTTGTTGTGTTTGTTATTGTCAGGAGAAGGTTCTTATCAAAGAAAATATATGAAAAGTAGAGGGGACGATTAGGAAAGTGACCCTTTAATAGCGAGATAGTTGGACCCGTGCGAAGCGGGGGCGGGCCGCTAGTTTTTTAATAAAAAAAATGCTGTAATTTTTTTAAGTGTGTAGATATTTGCAGTGTAGATTCACATATAAGTTACTGGCTTTTTCCCGCGACTCCGTTCGCGTGGAATAGTGACTTCCTGCAGATTTTTGGTATAAAAACTATCCTATGTCCTTTCTCGAGTTCCAAACTATGTCTGTACCTACGAAATTTCACAGAAATCGGTTCAGTAGTTTAGGCGTGAAGAAAAGTCAGACAGAGTTACTTTCGCATTTATAATATTAAGTTTGGATTATTCAGTATTTTTCTGGGTTGTAAGCGCTGGACTTGGAATAAGAGGAGGGACGGGGTGGTTTTTTAGTCAGTAAGAGTCTGACACTCATCAAGTCATTTATTCATTTCCCTTATTTCATCACACCCAAGCGAACGCCGGCGCTCGCTCAGCTACCTCTCGCCCCACCCAGATCGGGAAAAGTCAGTTATTCATTTTCCTTCATTCATAAAAGCTCCAAGCGAACGCCGGCGCTCGCTTAACGACCCCTCGCCCCACCCAGATTGGGAGAAGTCATTTATTCATTTTCCTTCATTCGCCAAAGTCCAAGCGAACGCCGGCGCTCGCTCAGCTACCTCTCGACCCACCTAGATCGGGTGAAGTCATTTATTCATTTTCCGTAATTCATCAAAGTCCAAGCGAACGCCGGCGCTCGCTTAACGACCCCTCGCCCCACCCAAATCAGGAGAAGTCATTTATTTATTTTCCATAATTTATAAAAACTCCAAGCGAACGCCGGCGCTCGCTTAACGACCCCTCGCCCCACCCAAATCAGAAGAAGTCATTTATTCATTTCCCTTAATTCATCAAAGTCCAAGCAAACGCCGGCGCTCGCTCAACTACCTCTCGCCCCGCCCAGATCGGGAGAAGTCATTTATTCATTTTCCTTAATTCATCATCATCATCAAACTCCAAGCGAACGCCGGCGTTCGCACACCTATTGTGTCTAGAAATACCTTGATTAAAGAGTTAATCAAGAAAAGGTATTTTTTAAATATTGTTTCCTTCACTTAATTGTTACAATATTTTTAGTTTGTTATCAAGTCGATCAAATAACGTCTTGCTCGACCGATTGGCTTATGAAACATATGTATATATGTGCTAGTTTAACTGCTTTGTTTTCATTTACAGTTTACCCTTCGCCCAGTGAAGACGCTACAGCTGTTTCTAAAATGCGGGTGAGTGTAACTCCAATATTACCTAAACAATACCTGCTAGAGAGAGAGAAAAAAAAAACAGTTTTTCAAGTTTTTTTTTGACATTTACCTCTATTGTTTATGGTTTGTGTCAAAATTGAATTTCGAAAAAAATTATTAAAGGTTGGTTTGTTTTTTTTTTGTATATAATTTGCTAGCTTTTGCCCGCGACTTCGTGCGCGTGGAATGGTGACTTTATGCAGTTTTTTGTTTTAAAAACTATCCTATGTCCCTTATCAAGTTCCAAGCCATGTCCTGTACCAAATTTCACACGAATAGGTTCAGTACTACAGCGTGAAGAAAAGACAGAGTTACTGTCGCATTTATAATATTAGTTTGGAAGTTTGGATTGTCATGAAAAAACTGTTTCTCTTTTTTCAAATTTTCTAATGTTTTTTGTGTCGTTATTAATTTGGGAAACTGTTTAGTTATTATTGTTAGGTAATATTTTTTTGCAAGCTACACGTTACAATTTGCTGGATCCATCACTGTACTTTTGTACTCAAAACCACATTTCTATACTTGCATTGCTAGCAAAAAATTCATTTCATTTATTTTAATATTTGATCAAGTTTTTTTTTGATGTTAATATACCTATACATAAGGAGTTTTTAGCTGTGAATTTACAATCTTTATTTTAATTATTTTTTTTGTTTGAATTGAATATGCTCCGAACATACTTTACTTACGATTTGAAAAATTCTTTCACTGATGGGAAGCTCGTTTCATTTTATTATCTTTGGTGAACTTAGGCAATAAATTAAGCGAGTGAAATCGCGAGACACAACTAGTACGGTATTAAATGCAAAGAAATGAAAAAATAAGCCAGGTTTTTACTTTTCCTATTAAAATAGGTTTTTTTTTTGGGTGCCGGTGGTGGCTTCGTTCATACGTGTAGGTATGTTTGTAAACGCACTCACGACACAGGAGAAAATCATAGTGTGGGGCAACGTAAAAAGAATTATTAAAATTATTTATCTTGCCTTCCTTGGCCTTGATTTGTCTTGAATAATAATTTCATAATTATTATTATTATTTTAAAACAATATCCAACTTTTTATATTTTTTTTATCTTTTTTTATTATGCTTTTTTTAATTATTCTAAGTCTTGTTGCTTCCGTCCGTACGTCACTGCAAGGTTGTCAACTGAAAACCAGTGTTGGGTTCTTATTGAGCCCAACTTATACTGAGATGGCAACCCTTTTGGCATGGGTATATGCTGTTATGTCAAAATTTTTAGTTGTTTAAGCACTTTTTTTTAAATATTATTTTATATTTTAAGAAATATTTTAGTTCCTAAACTCAACATTGTTGTATTAGTTTGTTTGGTACATTAATTTAGTGTTGTATTATAATTATTTCTTATTATTGTACATATCTTTGCAATTTTTTTTTCTTATTGTTCATGCCAAATATATTATTTTTCTTTCTCTCTTTCTTGATAGCCTGAAACACAGGTGTAAATAAACCTGTTAGGGATACGGGTTAAGCGCAATAAGGCACCGCGCCTACAGCCTAAAGAAGGAGAAGGAACGGAGGGGTTTTTAGTCAGTAAGAGTCTGACACTCGCTCTCACCACACCTTAGGCGACGGAATACTTATTTGATGATTTTCCCACATCAACATGGTACTGCACGTCGGGTCTATAAAATTTGTTTAAATTCGAATCGTGTTCGAGTGCGAAGTGAGCGTTGAAGTGACGGGGAAATTAAATTTTAGAATGTCACTTTTAACGTCATCTCATACTTTATCTATCAAAATGTTGTAGTCAATTTAGTTCAACTCGCAAGTGTAGCGCTAGTGTACTACTAGTCACAGCGGATTCAGATTCGAAGTTTAGAATAAAGTCTTACAGAATCACACTGCTGACATAGGTTGGCAAAGAAGCAGATGTGATGACGATTAGGTACCTAATACGTTTTTTTCTCAATTTCTATTTATAAGTTTTTTCACGCTTAGCTTATGTCAGTCCCATCATACCCTGAACAATAATGAGTCAAATGAAAACCTGATAGGTCGTGTAGTTAAGTCATCATCATCAGCCTATTAGTACCCACTGCTGAGCAAAGGCCTCTTCTCACACGGAGAAGGTTAGAGTATTAATCACCACGCTTGCTAAATGCGGATTGGTGATTCTAAACATCTAATTAGATTTTACAAGTCCTGGGGTGTGATTCTGTAAGACTTCATTCTAAACTTCGAATCTGAATCCGCCGTGAGGAGTAGTACACTAGCGCTACACTTGCGAGTTGAACTAAATTGACAGCAACATTTTGATAGATAAAGTATGAGATGACGTTAAAAGTGGCATTCTAAAATTTAATTACCCCGTCACCTCGCACTCGAACAAGATTCAAAATCAAACAAATTTTATAGAATCGACGTGCAGGTTTTCTCACGATGTTATTCTTCAGGTAATCCGTCAGCTCGTTTGCCGACTTATCACATAAAAAAGTAAGTCTTATTTTTATATTTAAATATATTTTTTGTTTACAGTTAATATGTTTCTGGTGTTTCCTTCTGGCTGCTGTTGTTCGAGCTCAAAACAACGGATATTACGCCCCACAGACTTTTAGACAAGTAAGTTACCTATTCATTATTATACTTTTGACTGCACGGTTAGTGCGGTGGCTGGGCAACTGGCTGCCGTGCAACGTGTCGCGGGTTCGATTCCCGCACGGAACAACTCTTTGTGTGATCCACAAATTGTGGTTCCGGGTCTGGGTGTCTTGTGTATGTGAAATTGTATGTTTGTAACAGCACCTACGACACAGGAGAAAATCATAATGTGGGGCAACGTTTAAAAAAAATATTATTCTAACACTAGCTTTTGCCCGCGACTTTGTTCGCGTGAAAAGGTGACTTCCTGCAGATGTTTTCGTTTAAAAACTAATGTCCTTCTTATCCTATGTCCTTTCTCGAGTTCCAAACTATGTCTGTACTAAATTTCACACAAATAGGTTCAGTAGTCAAGGCTTGAAGAAAAGACAGACAGACAGAGTTATTTTCGCATTTATAATGTTAGATTGGACTAGCGACCTGCCCCGGCTTCGCACAGGTGCAAAGATGATACTAAATTTCTCCATCATTTAATGGATGTCATTATACATATAAACCTTTCTCTTCAATGACTCTATCTATTAAAAACCGCATCAAAATCCGTTGCGTAGTTATAAAGATTTAAGCTTACATAGGGATATAGGGACAGAGAAAGCGACTTTGTTTTATACTATGTAGTGATTGCATTGCATTGTCGGATAACACAACAATAGGTATAATAACAAAATTAAAAATCTTTTCAGTCCTTCAGACGGACAAAGAAAAAACATTGGACATGTATTTTTTTATTTATTAGTCGTTTAACAAAACAATACTTGGATGAGGGCTGATTTTTCAATAGTCAGATAAATGTTATCTGAGGAATAAAATTGTTGCTATCACTGTCTTATACAAACATTCTGACGCGACAGCATCATAATCATTCCCCAGGTAACTTTTATCTAACCATTGAAAATCAGCCCTAGAACGAGTTTAAGTTTATCAGTGACAGCTCGCTACGCTACTAAATCGTGACGACACGCTATAATTTGAAATCAATCTATCGTCAAAAGTAGACGTTCAGTAGCCGTGCTTTGAAGTGGCGACTGCCTAAGCAAGAAGTTGTATAGCGCGCCATCTACAATTTCAATATGGAAACAACTAACCTGTGTGTTATTCCAGACTCTTATATATCTGTGTCAAATATTCAGATCCGTTAACAAGTTTTAATGTAAAAGAGTAAAAAATATCTATACATACTTAAAAAATTGCGTTTTTTCACTTCTATATACTAATATTAAAAAGAGGAATTTGCAATTTTAAAAAATAAACTTGCATTTCGGATGTATCTATGTAGGATTTAAACAGCTAGTCGATTTCCAAAATTCTTTCAATGTAAGATAGCTACGATGTTCCTCAAAACATCGCAACGCTACTATCTATAAAAGGTCGTGGGGAATCGAGAGACGATCTCCGCCCAATGTAAGCGCGGGCCGACGGCGAGTAAGGGTAGCTCGCCGCCCGACCAGAACTAGACCCGATCGAACGGCCCGTAGCGTTCCGCGCGCGCCTCAAAGATCCAATAGACCACCACAGACGGGGCCCTACAGGGCTGATGTTCAGCCGGGGTTGCGGGGTAAGCGCAATGAGGCACCGCGGCCTCGGCTCTGAGCAAGAGATGGAACGGTACTTTTTAGTCAGTAAGGGTCTGACACTCCCTCCCGCCCGGGAGAAGTAATTTGATGATTTTCCCCTCACCAAAAAAAGGATCTTTAGAAGTTGAGTATCGAATGATACCGCGCGACATTAGCTAGTAGTTTTTTTTTATGTAATAGGTCGGCAAACGAGCCCACGGATTACCTGATGATAAGCAATCAGCGCCGCCCATGGACACTCGCAACGGAGGAGTTACGAGTGCGTTGCCGACCTTTTAGGGATTAGGGATTTGGAGATTTAGGAACTAGGGAGGGATTGGGAAGGGGAAAAATTTGGCCCTTCGGTAACCTCACTCACACGGTGAAACACAACACTGTGGTTGTTTCACGCCGGTTTTCTGTGAGGCCGTGGTATCACTCCGGTCGAGCCGACCCATTCGTGCCGAAGCATGGCTCTCCCACACTTAAACACACACCACACTTCAGACACACCACAACTGACACTCCTAACCACTTAACAAACGAACCAATCTTTCCTCATTACCAATTCGTTCAAACAATTAACCATCAATAATTTGACCTGGACTAGTGTTGCTTAACCTCAATTGGAGCGCTGCAATACACTAGATGTTTGGTCACGTGTGACGCCGCACTTATAACGCAGTCATCCGAGCACCAATTATTGTGTAATTAGATTCTAATTAATGTGAAATTATCCTTGAAGTGATAGTGAGTCGTGTTGAAAGTTGATACGATTAGTAATTGGAATGAAACGGTGCATGGATTTTGTTAAAGATTAAGTGTGGGAGAGCCATGCTTCGGCACGAATGGGTCGGCTCGACCGGAGTGATACCACGGCCTCACAGAAAACCGGCGTGAAGCAACCACAGTGTTGTGTTTTCCGTGTCAGTGAGGTTACCTTGGATTCAATCAATCTCAGTTCCTAAATCTCCAAATCCCGAAAAGGTCGGCACTCGTAACTTCTTCTTTGCTATAGGTGTCCATGGACAGAGTCCTTAGCTTACCACCAGGTTAATCCGTCTGGTTAGTCTGTCTGCTTGTAAGGCGTACTGATATAATTGTGATCTCCGGATCCGCCCCAACTTGCCACTGTAACAGGGTCGATATTGCCATTCCCTAGGGAAACCGCGCAGTTGTGTAGCCCTAGCTCAGATTCAGTACTTGCTTGTTGTAAACTCTATTACCTAGGTAATTTTTTATTGAAATGGACACACCATTTCAATAGAGTCAAATAGAGTTTGTAAATTTTGTGTGTTTTTTTTTTATATATATAATATGTCGGCAAACGAGCTGACGGATTACCTGATGGTAAGCAATCAGCGCCGCCTATGGACACCCGCAAGGAGTTGCAAGTGCGTTGCCAACCTTTCAGGGATTAGGGGTTTGGAGATTTAGGGATTGAGGAGGGATTGGAGGAGGGGAAGAATTGGGCCTCCGGTAACCTCACTCACACGGCGAAACACAACGCTGTGGTTGTTTCACGCCGGTTTTTTGTGAGGCCGTGGTATTACTCCGGTCGAGCCGACCCATTCGTGCCGAAGCATGGCTCTCCCACACTTATATAAACTAGGTACAGCGTAACTTGAAGTGTGGTTTTTTTATAAATGCCAAGTCGCTTAGTCTAAAATGTGGCGAATAAAAAAGGACCGGCCAAATACCATCGTATAGTACTTACGTTAAAACTAACCAAGTATTCGTAGAAAAGCCGTGGTTCCGGGATTTTCCCAGTTTGGTACAAAAGTCGTTACAATAGCAAAAATAAACAATGATTTTTAAAAACTTTAATTTTCTTCACTTAAATACATATGACTTTAAAAAAACGCCTCATTTAGGAGACTACTTTTTAAACGTCTAGTATCTGTCACACGTGCGTTCTAGAGAGTTAAAATGTGAATTTATGCATAGTTCTTGTTCTTTTTCATACACTTTGTGAAAGTTAGAGCAGGAAAGGTACAAAATTACATCAATAAACGATAAAATAAAGCGACGGGTCGCAGCGGACTCCTGGAGTGCTGTACACAGATCCGCGCTTTTTGACAGAGGACTCCTGGAGTCCGTTCAACAGCTGAGGGGATAATCTACCCAATAGCCCAATACTAACCCCTCCCCAAATCTCTAAATCCCTAATGCCACAAGGTAGGCAACGCATTCGTAATTCCTCTGTAAGTTGTTGTGGGTGTCCATGAGCGGCGCTGATTGCTTATCCGTCTGCTCGCTTGCCGTTTCAACACAAAAAAATAATAATTAAAAGTAGATCTGTTTTATTTTTTCTTTATTATTCTAACCTAACCTAACCTAAAATTTGACTTTTTTCTTTTCACATCTTAACTTGCTTCTCATTAGAATTAGAAACGTGATAATTAATTGTATTGTGACAGGTCGAACCCGCGCTTTTTCAACCGCTGGCATTACCATGGAGTAACAAGCACGAAGTAAGATATTCTAAAATATAGGTTATTAAAACCTATCGATAGTTATATGACCTATCTTATTAGGTAGAAATCTAGTCTTAATTAAACTGCGTAGAAATACTAAATTTCATGAAAATCGGTTTAGTAGTTTTGAAGATTTTTGGGCTTGATAGTTTTTGTGGTAAACTATGCTGTGTAAATTTTAAATCACAGATTGATCTAAGCCCATTGACTGGCGTTAATGCTATCCAGTCTAGGCTGGGTTTAGTGTATAGACATATCCTTGCTCCTAGTACAAATTTTAGATAAATTTTAGTAGCATCATTGGCAAATTTGGCGTGTTAGCGATTGGTAGAAAATCCTCAAATTATATCTTCTGATTTATTTCGTTGCGGGATCCAAGACAGTCCCATTAATGTCCCGGACTTCAGTGTTTCGGTGTTTCCATGGTTGTATCTACTGTAGATCCTGGTGTACAGTAGGGCCTCGAGTCTGCTATTAAGTACAATAGTGTCAGAATAGTAGATCATTGGTTTCAAAATTGTTGATTTTGACAAGTTTGGTAATCTACTAAAACGATAGCGTCATTATGACTTACCAATGATCAATTAATGCCACTTCATTGAAATAATTCTTTAGAACGGTAATCTCGTACATAATGACAAATGAATATTTGACATAATGGGGTAAATTAATAAAAAAAGAACAGTTCCTTTATTCAATGATTTACGTTTACAATATTAATGTGCAGTTATTGTTTATAATTCGTTACAAGACATCTCGTACTATAATTCTATTACGACATCGCCGAACGCCAATGATCAGCCATTTTGAATTAACAGATTACGAACTTTTAGCAAAATGACAATGGAATCGTGTAGGAATGACAACACTTTGAAAATAGTAGACTCGGGCCCCAAGAGTTGCAGCGGTTTTCGGAAGGTAGTAGCGGGACTGTCGATTTTGCGGGACAGTATTTTAGGCGTCATAAATATGTCCCCGTAAAGTTATCAAATATTTTAACGAATTACTTTGCTTATATTATGAAAAGTATTTAATGACGTGTGTTATTAGGTGGATCCCTATCACCGGGCACTGTTCTCTCCAGCTCGGAACGATGTCCACGCCCAAAGTACGACGGTGGTAGACCCTTGGAAACCAGCACCAGTTAAGGAACAGTGGAGAGATGAGCAAGGTATGATGACATTTTTGATTGGGCGCTAAAAGAGTTAACGGATTACCTGATGGTAAGCAATCCGTGCTGACCATTGACAAGAAAAATACAAGAACAAAGCAAAAAACATGAGTGAGATCTCCAGAGGCCCTGATATCCTGGGGGGGTATGGAAACTAGCAACACGTACATGGTTGCACAGGATGTTTTTTTGTTTTTTTATTTATGTAATAGGTCGGCAAACGAGCAGACGGATCACCTAATGGTAAGTAATCAGCGCCGCCCATGGACACCCGCAACGGAGGAGTTAGGAGTGCGTTGCCAACCTTTTAGGGATTTGGAGATTTAGGAACTGGGGAGGGATTGAGAAGGGGAAGGATTGGGCCTCCGGTAACCTCACTCACACGGCGAAACACAACGCTGGGTTGTTTTACGCCGGTTTTCTGTGAGGCCTTGGTATCGCTCCGGTCGAGCCGACCCATTCGTGCCGAAGCATGGCTCTCCCACACTAGTTGTTGATGTTTTTATTGATTAGTTGATCTCCCAATCCTCAAATCTCTTTTGGGCATCGCACTTGCAAGTCCTCTGCTGTTGCGAGTGCATATGACTCACCGATTAAAGTGTTGGCGAGCCAAGCTTCCGTACGAATGGGTCGGCTTGACCGGAGTGATAGCCTGACAGAAAATCGGCGTGAAACCACCACAGCATTGTGTTTCGTCGTGTGAGAGAGGTTTTTTTATGGTATAAGTCGGCAAACGAGCAGACGGATTACCTGATGGTAAGCAATCGGCGCCGCCCATGGACACCCGCAGCAACACCAAATGAATTACGAGTGCGTTGCCGGCCTTTTGGGGATAAGGGTTGCAGATAAAAGGAACGGGAAGGGATAGGTGAAGGGGAGGGATTGGCCCTCCGGTAACCTCATTCACGCGGCGAAACACAACGCTGGGTTGTTTTACGCCGGTATTCTGTGAGGCCGTGGTATCACTCCGGTCGAGCCGACCCATTCGTGCCGAAGCTTGGCTCTCCCTGGGAGAGCTTACCGGAGGCTCAATCCTTCGCTTATCCTTAAATATCCGAAAACCTAATCCCCAAATGGCCGTCAACGCACTTATAACTACTTTGGTGTAGCGGGTGTACATAAACGATGCCGATTGCTTACCATCAGGTAATCACTCTGCTTGTTTGTATGCAATAGGAAATCCAAATCTTCTTGTTGTTTCTAGATCGTGGTGCCATCCTGCCCAAACCTGAACCCTGGCGTCTCCCGTATGGCCTGACGAAGGAGCAGCAAGCTGCTATACTTCATCACAAACAGTCTTTGTCTTCTGGTAATTATAATTATTACCTCACGTGAAGCCAAAATATATCCAGGAGAAAATCCTAGTGTGAGGCAACGTTGTTAACAAAATAAAAAAAAATGTTTTTTCTTTTTCCTATCACACCCTAGACGGTGCGTTCCGCTTCGAGTATGCATCAGATAACGGCCTGGCAGCTGGAGAACAGATAGAGCCTGATGGTTCCAGGGTTGGAGCTTACCAGTACAAGGATCCCAGTGGACAGCTCGTCAAGTTGAAGTATAGGGCTGGGAAGGATGGGTTCCAGGTAAAACGCCAATATCATTTATTTCAATTAGACCCTTACAGTGTATATCATGGTGGCCTGGAGGTTAAGGCGCCAGCTTCTGATGCATGAGGGTTCAAAACCGTTACCGAAGTGCCAATCTCGCCATCATAGCACAAAAGGTCGTTAACGTACTTGTAACTCTTTTAGTGTTGCGACTGTCCATGGGTGGCTTCGATTGCTTACCATCAGGTGGTCCGTCTGCTCGTTTGCCGAAAAATCGCATTAAAACATTACGGCTATGCAGACTTTACGAAGCCTTTAGGAAAGACGGTCATCATAGATGACCGCTATGTCCAACTAGTCTAGCTCACTACACGGGAGAAGGTACACAAATTTGTATGCAAACACAAGTGCTTTCACTGTTCCTTTACTTTCTGAAGTCGATGGGACGGGATCTGACGAAAAGCCTCTTCTCACACGAAGAAGGTTAGAGCATTAACCACCACGCTTGCTCAAGGCGGATTGGCGATTTCAAACTTATCATTAGGAATAACAAGTCCAGGTTTCCTCACGATGTTTTTTTTCTTCACCGTGTGTCAGTGGTGTCTAAATAATCATAGAAAGTACATATAACTTGGATAAAGTGACTTTGGTATTGTCAGGTTTCAAAATGCCCATGAGAAATGTCCTCCAGGCAACTAGATCCTTAAACCCTGATCTCATGTTTCGTTAAACTAATATAAATATGTTTTCGCAGATCCTAGAAGGAAGCCATTTACCCAAGAGTCCTGAGCCGGTACCTCCAGCAACCGGAGGTGAGTTCCATATCTTCCGATCCATGAACCGCCGCCCTTAAATAGATTGTAGTTATAGCATATATAATTATTTCAAAAACTGCGCGATTTTCGCCAGACGTTCTGCCTTGCACAGCAAAACTTTGGACTGAACTTCCGCCGGCTCTATTTCTGAAGCGATACGACCTTCAAACATTCAAGAGCCGAGCGTACTTCGTTTTCCAAAATCAACAACGTACTTGTGACTCTTCTGGAATTGCGAAGGGTCCGTTAGCTACACGGATAGAAAAGCCCAACGTACAGAATTTGGGCAGTAGCCCGCCAGGCTGACTCCTCGCCTGCTCGAGGATCCTCCTTTTCCGATCTTAGGGAACTTTACTCTGTGTTCTCTAAACGAGAAGGGATGGTAGAAGATGATGTCAATATTTCAATTTCAAAGCACTAACTGCACCCTTCACCCCACTTTTGAACGTCAAACAAAGCTTAAAGATAAAAAGTGTCAGTCTATCGATCAGTCCTCGTAGTGAAGCTATTCGCTCGTTCCAAAGTGTAGATTCCGTTGGAGAAGAACGAGCAACAAACTCAATGGATACTCTTTTCAAATCAAAGTCAAAGTCAAAATCATTTATTTCAATTAGACCCATACAGGCATTTTTGAACGTCAAACAAAATTTTAAAGATATAAAGTGTCAGTCTATCGGCCAGTCCTCTTAGTGAAGCTATTTGCTCGTTCTAAAGTTTAGATTCCGATGAAGAAGAACGAGCAACAAACTCAATGGATACTCTTTTCAAATCAGTTTCACATACAGATTCTTTGGTTTATTTTTAAGTTGGTTCGAATATATGAGAATTTTAATTAGATCCTTTTCTCTTTTCAGACCAATACTACCAGCAGGCCTATGCTCAACAGCGTCAGCAGTATACCCTTCAGCAGCAGTACAATCAGCAGAGACCTGAACCACAACAGCAATGGGGACAGAACCAGGTAAGCCGGAGACTAAGCAGGCCTGCACTGAATTGGCTCCACAATTGACACAATGGCTGGGCAACTGGCTGCTTGGGTCTGTTTATGGTCGGATGGCGAACTAGGGTATTGCACCGGCCACAGTCGCGGCCGCGTATTTTAATTATTGCCAGAACGGGCACTTTTGGAAACTTCAAAATTGTCAAAGAAGCTAGATGCGCATTCGGACATGTAGATTGGTATAGAAGAATGAAAAATAAACTCCGTCGTTACTCTTTTTGTGCATGTCATGTATCTAAGTAAGGTTACAGGAAACAATTATATGGCTATTTTCTTGTCCTAGGGTCCCAATGCTGAGCAGAGGCAGCCCAATACCCAGTACTATGGATCAAACTGGAGGCCGCAGGCTGCAGGGGAAGATGATGGACAGGTAGGGCCAAATCTTCTAACATTATTATTCATTTTTTTATCGGATATTGCCACAGAATCACCTGATGTTAAATCGGCGCCTGACATGGACACTTGCAAAACGAAGGGATTCACAAGTGTGTTTGTTGGCTTTTTGGGGATTAGGGGATTGGGGGTGGGGAGGATTGTAGCCCTTAAGTATACTGGTGCGGGTTCGAAGCCTGCTCAATTCCAATGTGAGTTATTATGTTCTTTCTAAGATTATTAAGACACCACTGACAAACGGTGAAGAAAAACATCGTGAGGAAACCTGGACAACCTAGGCTGAACTTTGAAGGTCTTTTCTAAACAGGAGGCAGTTATAAGTTGATGATGTAGAGGTAGGGCTTAGCCTTATCAGCGGTAGACTACTATGGGCTGTTGATGGCTTATTTCAAGGTTGTAATAAAAATTTTTTTCGTTTCAGTACCGTGAAAATGAAGTGGATCTAAACAAACCCCACAGCTTTGGGGAAGGTTACGCTTTCGCATTCCAGGGATAACTGAAAAAAAAAACTTTAGAGTCATTAACGACATCTGTTGGTCATTCTGTGACCTACTTGAAAACCTATTTTATTAGAACCAGTAAGTTTGTTAGCTGAAGGCTTATCTACCCAAAATACAGGTCAATAATATTGGAATAATTATTAAAGACTGCTTTGATAGTTAAATTATTTAAAGTTTGACGGATATTTCCTTCAATCAAACGGTTTTTATAAGTAATATTTGTGCGCGGTAATTCCAATAGGGGCGCCATCTATTATTTGGAACTCATAACAAAGACTAACTCGGGGAAAATGGATTTTACATTATAAATACTCCGTCGAAAGATGTGTTATATTGAGTATTGATCTGTATTTATTTACAAACACGATTTTATGAAATAAAGCAAATTAGTGTCTAAAGGGGGGGCCCCCTTTAGACACTAATTTGCTTTATTTTAGTACTTTTAAAATGTATTATATTATTTTGTTAAACTGGACGGTCACTATTTTGTTCATGTCGAAGAATTTGGCGGTAAAAGAATAATCTAACCTGTAGTAACAATTCGTAAAGAAAACTATTTCTATCCTTTTCTTTCCTGAGTAGTAAGAAGGAGACGGAGATATATACATTTCTTTAGTAACAATTTTGTAACACAGATGTCGTTAGTTTCGATTATGTTTAACATCGTACTTATTTAGATAAATATAATTATATTAATAAGTAAATTATAAATATACTGAGAATATTGAATTGTGTTTTATTTACGTCTAATATATAATATATAAATAAAAAAAAATATTTTTTCTATTGCAAATAACATTTATTACTTTTACAGTATGTAAGTTTAATACATAAATATAAAACAATTTAAAACATAAAAAGCTTATTCGAAGTGGTCTCCATTGGCTGCAATACAGTCCTTTAACACATTCAGTGCCCCCGACGCGTATGTGCGTTTCCTCGCACGCACATACGCGTCGGGGGCACTGAATGTGTTAAACGTTAAGGCCAGTTATCAATAGAAGCACGCACTCTTTCCATAGGAAAATTCTTCACTGCCAATCGTATGGATTGTTTTAGGGAGTCCAGATTATCATGACGTTTAGAGCAAGCCCTACTCTCTAAAACTGACCATAAATCATAATCCAGCGGATTAAGATCGGGACTAGACGACGGCCAGTCTTCAGCTCTGATGAAGTCGGAAACGTTCGTTTCCAACCAAGACTGCGTGGACCGAGCTTTATGACCCGGCGCCGAGTCTTGCTGGAAGGACCATTGTTGGTTATTGAACATGGTGTTGTTAACTACCTTCACAAGAATGGTATTTTGATACAATTGTGCCGATGTCATGTGATGCTCAGTCACTCCTTCATAGCTAACACCCCACCAAACCATCACTGAAGTCGGATAATGCCCACGTTGCACTCTATCGACTAATTGAGAAGCTTCCTTAGAGCTTTGAGCATAAATAGAGATTTTATCACCCTATTCTTTTATAAATTATCATTTAAAAAATGTCCAGTACGTCTCTTATAGGCTGCAAGTCCTAAGTCGTCTTTTAAAATACGCGACATGGTTCTAAGTGCTATCTTCATCTCCCGAGATAAAATCTTTTGCTTTCGGACAGGATTTCTTCGAATTCTTTCCCTTACTGCTTTGACCACCTTTTTCGTATGAACACTACGTGGACGGCCAGATCTTTTTCTGTTACAAACAGAGAAGGTCTCATTGTACCTATCGATAGCCCGGTACACAAACATTTGACTAAAGCCAAGCGTGTGGAGTGTTTAAAAAATTGCATTTGGCTCCATACCCACTTTGTGTAATGCAATGCACAGCGATTCGGTTCTCTTTATCACCCCACTCCATTTTAATATCGCAAAATATTGAACAATTTATTGGCGCCAAAATAAGAAAACACAATGAAAAATTATATAAAAATGACAGATTGCAAATTCAAATGTTATATTTGTTTTTTTTTTAATTGTAACAGTATTTATGGCCAGACTATGTAAGTATATATTTTCACGAGACGTGGATTGACTGCACGGATGGGGCAGTGGGCAACTGGTTGCCGCGCAACGTGTCGCGAGTTTCGATTTCCGCATGGAACAACTCTTTGTGTTATCCACAAATTGTTGTTCCTTGAGTCTGGGTGTGATGTGTATGTGACATTGTATGTTTGTAAACGCACCCACGACACAGGAGAAAATCCTAGTTTGGAGGCAACGTTTTTATTAAAACAAATAAACAAAAATGTTGAGACCTAAGGAACATTATATTTAACATAATTATGTCACATTAGACAGAGACCAGGCGGCAGAACTTTATGATAAATTGACTTGTTAACTGTTTATTTATCTTATATATAAAAATGGATCGCAAAATGTGTTGTAAGCGCATAACTCAACAACGCCTGGACCAATTTTGCTAATTCTTTTTTTGTTGTATTTGTTATTGTCAGGAAAAGGTTTTTATCAAAGAAAATATTAGAAAAGTAGAGGGGAAGATTAGGAAAAAGTGACCCTTTGATAGCGACATAGCTGGACCCGTGCGAAGCGGGGGCGGGCTGCTAGTTGTAAATATTTGTGTACTTAAGATCTTTAAGAGTATCAATTAAATTGTTTAATAGAGAGGCAACGAGTGGACTTTCTGATGGTAAGCAACCAGAACCGTCTTAGGAGTCTCATAACACCAAAGGAGACAGGGTTAAGAGAGCCTTTTTAACAAAGCTCATAAAACATTCTTAAAATTTTGATGGTCGTAATGATGGTGACAATTCCAGGAGAGTCATGCTTTCGTCACACAAATGTGCCAGCACCACTGAAGTGTCGCCACGGCCTTCACAGAACACCGCCGCGAAATAGCTCTTTTTTTGTCAGGGAAAAATCATCAAATGACTTCTCCCGCCCAGGGTATGGTGAAAGAGTGTCAGACTCTTACTGACTAAAACCCCGTTCCTTCTCATCTCATTGCGCTTACCCCGTAAATCCGGCTGAACATCAGCCCTATAGGGCCCCTGGTATGTGTTGCGAAATAACAGCGTTGTGTTTCGCCGTGTGAGTGAGGTTACCGGAGGTACAATTCTTTTCCAGAATGAGGATTAAAGGCATGATAACAATGTTCAACTCCCTAATCACCCCGTTTTGAGGGTCTTGTGGCCGGCAACGTACTTGTAGCTTTCGTCTCCTCTGGTGTTGCGGGTGTCCATGGGCGGCGATGATTGCTTACCATCAGGTAATCCGTATACGAATTATCATATAAAAAAATTATACAGTTGATCCTTTCAGAGTAAAATGAGAATTCATGTAACACTTAGATACAATACAAAAAATATTCACTGCTGCTGCTACAAAAAATATCAGCTGACGGTGACGCGAAGCGTTCCGCGCTCGCCTCGAAGAGCCAAAAGACTACTACTAGCGGATGGGGTTAAACATGGCCAATGCTTAGCTGGGGTCGTGGGTCCAAGCGTAAATGAACCGCAGCTTCAGCCTGGAGTTGGAGAAGGATGGTTTTTAGCCAGTAAGAGTTCAACACCCGTTCTCGCTCAACCCTGAGTGGGAAAAGTCATTCGATTTCAATGATTATACCCCACAAAAAAGGTGTATAGACTAATATATTCCAGTCGGCATTTTTACAGAATTTCAATAGGATATCGAAATAAAATTAAATTAATAAGTGAATTTTCAATTTGTTCGCGCGATCTACCCATGTCGCGTCGGTCGCCTGTTGAATGTTTTATTGCGGGTTCACATGCCGAGAGATGAGAAATTGATAAAAAAATCTAATAGGTACGACAGTATTTCAACCTACATTTTGTAGGTTTAAGTATCGGATTGGAATTATTATAATGCTAAGCTATAAAATACGGAACTGGATGAATACAACATTGAAAAAAGATTTTTTTCAGAACTACTACGAATGTGCTACGCCGTAGTATTTTGCTACGGCGTAGCAAAATCGTAGCCGACTTGTAGCGACGTTCATTTTTGAGAAAATTCTCGCGTCAAAAAATTTAACCATAATGAACGAATAATGAATAAAACCACACAACTTTACATAACAATCTTATGCTAAAAAAAACAGTTTCATTTATTACATTTATCATAACTTTTCAATGAATAACATTTTTACATTCGACGTATAAAACAATGACGCCTACATAGAAACTTGCATATCATGTTGACAGTATGAAATAAATATTGAATTTGAATAGTTGTCTACTTTGGTCTATCGGTTTAGGTGTTTAAGTAAAGGTAAACAATCTTGGTATGTCTTTTTAACCCCCGACGCAAAAAGAGGGGTGTTACAAGTTTGAAGTGTCTCTCTGTCTGTAGCATACTGGAGCCTGAACAGGTGAAGCGATTTCAATTTAGTTTTTTTTTTGTATTAAAGGTGACTTACGTGCGAGTGTTCTTAGACATGTTTGACGAAAACACCGAAAGTCTGCAAATATACTCGAGTGGGGTCTCAAATGAAAGCGCACTGAAAATGAATGTAGATGACTTAATTGAGAGGAAATGATATTAAAGTATAAAATAAAAAAACTATTAGACCCCCAACAAAATAGAAATATGTGGTTGATAATAAAATGTATGGATCCGTCCCCAACGTGTTCTTCTAAATATTACTTTTTTATGAATTTTTTAAAATTTAGATTTTTATGTCGGGGGTGTTTTAAATTTAAAATTTATAATAGTTACTTTTATTATATTAAAGAGATCGTATAAAATACACACAAAATTTATTTTAATTTAAAACCTTCACTATTTTACATAAAAACTTCTGAATGAATCTGAATAAAATTTGACACACAGATATATCATAGTCTGGAATAATACATGGGGTACTTTGTACCCTTGTACTGCACACAAAGGTGGTGAAAAAACTTGTTCTAAAATAATAAATATTAATATTGTAGGTCTCCATGTAAACTCCACTGAGTTAAAGTGCTCAGCATTATCCTTAGTATTTGACCTCCCCTATTGTCGCAGAGTAAGTTTATTCATGTAAG